GGGGCATTCAGCCTCTCAATTTCCAAAGGGAGGAGTAATTCTCACATGGAATTTCCAAAGGAGGGGTAAATTTGATGGGATGAAAATTCCATGGGAGGACATATGTTAGAGGAAAATTTCCGGGAGTAAATATCCCATGATGGAAATTCCATGGACAGGGCCAAATTTTAAATGGAAATTCCATGGGGAAGGCCTAATTTAGAATGGAAATTCCATGGGGAAGGGTAATTTTTACAAGGAATTTCCATGGGAAGGGGTAAATTTTACATGAAAATTTGCGGAAATTCCAGGGGAGTACCGACATGAGAAAGGGGTTCCTCAACAGGGGGGGTGCGGATAATAATTGGAATAGCCCAATAATAGACAACTTTATAACAAGAAAATGTTAAAATGAAGAAACTTTTTAATGGCTTCATAATTGACGTTTCTTCGATATTGTTGCTTACTTCTACTTTATAATTGTCCATTCTGTTATTTTCTTTCTTTCTGTTTGCAAATTATCTCCATTAATCCATAGAAAACAAGCAGTTTACGTTTGTATTTCTTCGTATTTCGAACGCGCACTCCTTGAAGGCAGCCATATTGCAAATATAAACATCCACTTGACGAATAAACTTTTCATATTTCACTCTATTTCCAACGACCAATCAAATCACTTCTGCCTCGGCTTGTCCCAGGGCTTACGGCAACGCAGGCAGCCGAGAAGCCCTGGGAACGAGGATGCGCGGACAGCGGACGCGACTAAAAAACAGTCGGTAATAATTGGAGACAAGCTTTCCGCGCCGTAGATTTGGTGTATCTTGAGCTCCCTTATATAACTGGAGCGCTTTGCGGCTTTGGAATGCTACCTTCAGATATTAAATTAATTAAACTGCGTTAACTGCCTATGTCTATGTCTTGCGATTCTCTTGCGCCACATTTTTATCGGAGAGAAATGATAAACAATTATCAGAAAAAAATAAAAGTAAAGTCTACAAGGATGTTTTCCCTGAATAAATGCATAATAATAGAGCCTTTGAGCGCTGTTTTTGTGAATTTTTAGCCGGTTTTCGAGAATACATATCATTTATGTTGACGGATTGACCGAAGACTAGTGGCCTGCGTAATATTCATTTCACTGAGGCGGCCTGTAGCCTGCAAATCAATTTTGGGTGCGCCCAGGTCAGGTGGCCCCAGCAATCTATATGACCATATTAGCTGTATTTACTTTTTGTATCTGCGAAGCAGATATATATGCTATCGCAAACGTGCCGTGACCGGACCGTACCGTATCCCTAGCCATTCAGCGACGGGCTTATATAATTCAGCCGATTTATGCCAATTTAAGCCAATCAGCGATTCGTTTACATCAATTGTTTACATCGTGCCCGCTGATCTAACCTGCGAACGGGCATACTTTAGCCTCGTCAGGCCTCGTGTATAAATCGTGTTTTATATTCTTTCAAAAATATCTTGATATTTTTATCAATTTATCTTGAATTGGGATCAATTTATCTACTTGCGATATTATTCCGAAGTTATTTATCAACATGGAATCTTATCCTCATCTGGTAAGCAGTCAAATACCACATATTATATATTTAAATACCAAATTTGTGCAAATATATGTCCCACATATTTTATATAAATACATGAGTTCGCCAGTTCGGCAAATATTTACTATACTATCTATAGTTAATATTGCCGTATCTTCGGCGTAGAGTTTACATGGAATGCACTCTGGAATTTTTTTATTAATATATTTATACACTGTATAAAATATTGGATATTTTCGAGGATATTTTAAGCCATTTGTCAACATAGTTCACAAAAAGGTTTATACAGTATTAAAAACAATCCTTCTGTGACATCTGTAATATTTTAAACAGTGAAAACATTCTCAGGAGATATTGAATTAAATCCTGGTCCTGTATTTCTGTATATTGACTCAGTAACTCTGTTCAAAACAACAGTCCAACTATAAAGCTGTCATCAAATGTAGTGTTAGAGCAAAGGTTGAAGATGTTATCAGTTAAAATACTTATACATTTTGGTTTTACACATTAGAGTTAATTATTAAACAATATTTTTACCAACATTTTCAAATAAAAGAATCCTCACCCTCCCGAGCCTCATTACATTGTCATTTTGCTTTCTAACATAAATATTTTTCTTTAGAGATTAATACAAGAATGAAGAATAAATGTACTGGATATTGGCTGGATAATTTTGTCAGAACAATCAACTTGCAAGACAATCTTACCTAAATTCATTAGTATGGAAAATAACTTAACAGCTATACAATGAGTAATCATATATTATATGGTGGATTTGATCAATGGCACACAATGTACAAAACTAAACTTGTGATACCTTCTACTCAAACCGATAATCTGCCACAACACGATTGTTTTTGTGTGAATGTGCTGTACGTGTTAAACCGAACAGTATGGTATATCATTAACTGTGCACAGAACTGGAATTTAATTATAATAAATAAATAATATACTTCACTCATGACCTTCAAAACATTCTCAATTATTCAGTGGTCTTCGACATGTTCACCAAATATTTTGTGTATGTTACTCTCCAACAGTTAACATTGGCAAGTGTAAACAACAAGTGACATAACTTTTGCTTCATATGATTACAATAAAGTTTTGAAAATTTGATGAGTATGGATTGAATTGACAGGTGACAGTTTACTAAATAGCCGGCTGTATAGACACTTTGAATATGGTTTGCATGAAATTTTTATTTCCTGACTTTATCTGTTACAATCATAATCACATTATAAAGTTAGTTAAATTTTCTCGGTGCGGGGGTCCGGGGGGGGTAGCACTTGGCCTGCTGCACTCCCCGCTGTGTACAGCCCTGTTTTAAATCTTATCTGCCATTATAATAAGTGATGAAATATTTCAATTGTCCCATGTCATCTTCATTATTCAGTTTCTTTCAAGAAAATACAAAATGTGAATCAAGTTTTTTCGCAGATACATGTACGCGTCGCGTACCTATTTTTAATTATGTTTAGGTGATGGTGTTGTATAAAGCTACTTAATGGGCAAATAAACAGTAAATATATAGATTATAGGTGATTGCTGTAGTGTCCGTCACGTCATTTCTATCTGTCGAATATCGAATTCTAAAAATGTTTAGGGGGGGGGGACTTCCCCAATGGACTGACATACAAAAGACACAAAACAGCACACGCATTATATGCGTGCACCGAATATACAATATTTCACGGCATGGTTTACTTTCCAGACCCCGTTGAAGATATAAGAAATCCATTAAGTAAATAATGCTTATCAGTAAGCCACAAACGAGAGATCCCAGACGCATGTAGAGGTCGTATTACCTATCCCGGAATTTAAATAAATCAGAAATGAATCACGTAAAATTAAACAAAAGTTGGAAAGTAACGAAATACTTCGCCACAAAATGAAAATAACGAAGTAAAACCTTACTTCTTAAAACGACTTCATTCCAAGTAAAAGTACTCCAGAAAAAGTTTACTTTGTTACATGCTCACTTCTCAAAAATTGTACTTAAGTACAGTAAGGGACGGACCATTACAAAAGTGATGGGGGGGGGGGATTTTCTAAGAGGCAATATATTTTTTTTTGTACACCTATAGAAGAAATATATTTTTTTTCTCACTTGATGGTTGGAAATATATTTCTTTTAAAGGGCCCTACAGTAATTTTTTAGTCAAGTAAGTATTGTTTACATTTTTTGTTATTGTCGCTACTTGACATGCGCACCACAGTATGCATGCGTTTTCTGTGTGCGAAAGTACTCATACTCATGGATACTGCATGTAAGATACAGCCAAACGAATCTCCGTGGAGTCCCCTACTTAAGGTGGCTTTCGACTAAAAAATGACTGTAGGGCAATCTGTAGGGCCCTTTAAGTGAAATTTATAGGCCTATTAGTGGTGTAGTCCTGGAATGTTAACAAGGGGGGCTCTCCAAATTGCCCTGAATTGGCGGGAGGGGAGGGGAGGTACAATAAGATATTTTAGAAATTCTAAATTTTGTTGGGGTTTATTCTAGTAATTCTGGGACAAACATTTGACATTATTCTTATTAAAAACAAGCCGAAGCGAGGGCCGAAGGCCCGAGGAAATTTTTAAATTCTCTGAAATGCCATTTCCTGGACTTTGGGGAAGATTTGACAGAATTCTGATGGTCAGAAAACAGCGTTTTAGTATGTCGAAATTTACAATTTAGTGGTACTAAATGATATAAAGATTACAAAAATCATTGTGTTAAATGATGAGTGAAAATGAGATGCAATTCTAAAGAACATTCTCGTTTACTGGTATTTTTTTGTGTGTGTTTTCGCACGTTGTTAAGATTATCAATTTTGCAACGTGCCAAAATATAGGGGGGCTCAGCACGCTGGTCACATTCAGCAAATTTTCTCCCAGGATCGCAGGCTCATATTGTCAGTGGACCTGCGGTGTAAAATTGAAATTTTGCATTTTTCAAAGAACTGGCCACTTTCTGTAAGATGTCCGCTGTCAATACGAACCCGCACGAGTGGGAGAAATTTTGCTAAATTTGACCAACGTGCAGCCCCCAAGTCAACATGAAATTTCAACAAGGGGGCTCAGCCCCCCTGAGCCCTCCCTCCAGTACACCACTTGGCCTATCTTTTTTTACTTTCTAATGGTCCGTCCCTAACGAAGTACATTTACTTCGTTACTTGACACCAGTGATTAAGTACACCTTGACCTGCAAATAGCTATAACTGTAAATCGAAGCAGGGTAAGATTGGAAGAAAACAATGTTACAAATTGTAGGATCAGGGCCCTAGCAACCGGGGGGGGGAGGGTCTGGGGGGGGAGCTGCGCCCCCCACCCCTCCAGTAATTTGCTAATAATCATTCTTTTTTCAAAATCATGCAGACCTTTAACATTTAATCCATGACAAACTGCAAAGAATAAAGATATTACCAATACTTTCCTGCAACTTATCCAATATACAGTTAATTAAATACGCCTTCGCCTATTGAGTACTACCAAATTGTAAATTTCGACATACTAAAACGCTGTTTTCTGACCATCAGAATTCAGTGAAATCTTTCCCAAAGTCCAGGAAATGGCAGCCCCCCCCCCCAATCAAAAGAGGTTCCTACGGCCCTGAGGATCGGATATATAGCAGGGCCTTTTTTAAGGATTTTCCCGTGGGGGGGGGGCATTTTTTGAAAAGGTACCTTTCTGTGAGATAATATATTAGACGGGGATAGCAATGGCTGAAGGCCACGTGTGTGGCCAATATACAACGCATGAATGGGGGGTTCTGGGGGAGTACTCCCCAGAAAATTTTTGAAATTTGAATCCTGGAAATGTCATTTCCTGCATTCTGAGCATCCAAATTTGCTCCAAAATTTATGCTAACTATACTTGTATTTGAAATAAATAAAGGAAAAAACGCACAAAAAGTAAAAAAAAGAATAACCATCATTTATCATTACTTATTAGAGGAGGATAGCAATGGTCACGTGTGTGGGGGTGTACTCCCCCAGAAAATTTTTGAAATTTGAAGCACAGAAATGCCACTTCCCGCATTCTGATCATCCAAATTTGCTCTAAAATTTGTGCTAACTATACTTGTATTTGAAATAAAAGAAGGAAAAAATGCACAAAAGTAAAAAAGAATATAATATTAACGGTAATTCATCTATTAGAGGGATAATCCTTAGAGGGATATTACGTATTAGAGGGATAATCCGCAGAAAATTTTTGAAATTTGAAACCCGGAAATGCTATTTCTTGCATTCTGAGCATCCAAAAAATAATAAAATTATTAACAATAATTTATCGTCACTTAGTGGTAGAAAAACGTAACAATTTAAATTTATTTGTTAATCTTCGCTGGTTTGTTTGTACAATTTTAGGGAAAAGGGACTTTTCCTAGGGGGGGCAAAATGTGATTTCGTGGGGGGGGGGCAAAAGGGAGGACTGGGGGGCATTTGCCCCCCAGCTTGTATGTTTAAAAGGCCCTGATATATAGACAAGAACCAAGCGCCGGCAATGAGGAACAATATTCATCAAGTTTAGTCCCTTGAGGGACCCCAGCTGTCACTGGGAGCCAGCTTGAAAAGGATTCTCCAATTTTAACTCGTTGTCTTCGATCACAAAGAAAGTTTATAATCCAGGGGCCGGTTGTATAAAAACGTAGTTAGCGCTAACTGCAGTTAAAAAGTAGTTAAAAAGCCTTAAAAAATAGTTAACTTTAATCACGTAGTTAAGCCGGTTGTATAAAAGTGTAGTTAGCCTTAACTGCAGTTAAAAAGTAGTTAACGTTAACTATGCTTTAGGGTATAGTTAACTGTCCAAAACGTAGTTAAAAATGGCGTTTGTATAGGAGTGAACAACATTTTTCAGTAAAACAACAATGAAAAGCAACGGTTACCTGAGATTTTCAATCGCTATCTTCCCTGTGAATGTTTCCAGACCATATAAACTCTTCAAACGCGATTGTAATGACGTAATAGTTACATCATGCCTTAGGAGCATGCGCACTTGTAAGATAGAAGCTAGACATGTGTTTATGCATCGAAGGAGTACTATATTACATTTGGCGACGAGGACAAAAATAATAATAAAATATGGCAAAAGCCATACCCGATTTCGAACCATTTATAGTTTATGGGAACGACACTTCGAGTTCTTCTATTGCCACTCGCTGGAAAAAATGGTTGCAACGTTTTAACAATCTTATGGTCGCTATGGATATATCGGCAAAGAAACGGAAACGTGCTTTACTTATACACTTGGCTGGATCACAAGTTTACGATATCTTTGACACATTTACCGCCGAACAGAAAGGTTCTGAGGATGATTTTGACACAGCTGTGAAATCACTTACAACTTATTTCGAGCCTAAAAAGAATACGGAGTATGAAATCTACAAATTTCGCCAAGCTAGCCAACGCCATGACGAAAAGCTCGATTCTTACCACACTCGCCTTCGACACCTTGCTTCCACGTGTGAATTTGCAGACATGGATCGCGAAATTAAAACACAAATTGTCCAAACGTGCACGTCCCAACAGCTTCGACGAAAAGCCCTTCGTACTGAAATGACTCTCCAACAACTTTTAGATCAAGGCCGAGCCTACGAACTATCACACCAACAAGCTCAGGAAATGGAAAATAACAACACAGAATCAGTCAACCAGATGAAAACTGCTCCAACACGAAATTACTTTTCGAAGAACTTCAACTCACAACGTCAAGGACAAAGACAAGAATCAACGAAACTATGTTATTTTTGCAGCAAACCATATCCTCATCCTGGCGTATGTCCAGCAAAAGGGAAAACGTGTCGACTTTGCGGGAAATTGAATCACTTTGCCGTCGCATGCCGTTCATCTCCACAAAAACAACAACATCGCCACCATGAAAGTGACAAACGTCAGACGGTTAAATATGTAAACGAAGAAATCGCAAGTGACAATACCAGTGAACACTCCGAGTCGGATGAATATACGTTTATGGTGCAAGATACAGACGAAAATACCAAACATCCAATGGTTAACTTACGGATTCAAAACCTAGCCAAAGTTAAATTCATTATTGACACTGGAGCGACAGTTAATTTACTCGAAGAAAAGGATTTTGAAGCCCTCAAACCGGAAATAACATTGCAACACAGTTCTATCAACATCTACCCCTACAAGTCCGATAAACCCCTCCGTGTCCT